GGGCCCGTCGTGGTGGTGGCTTCGGGGCCGCCGGTGACCACGGCCACTTCGGCCCCGGTCACTCTGGTGGCCCCCGGGGAGGCGCGGCCCGCCGGGGTAGCGGGGTCGACTCAGACCTCGGCCCCGGCCCCAGCCCCCGCCCCGACGGTTACAGGCAGCACGGTGGTGGTGCTGACTCTGGAGGCCTCAGCCGAAGCCCCAAGGGCGTCGGTCTCCCCCAACCCGGAGCCCCTGGTGCCCGCGGCAGTGGCAGGAGCCGAGATGTCGATGGGTCTGGCCTCGGAGGCAGACCCTCTGAAGACAGAGGAGGCTAGAACCTCACCCGTCCCTGGACCAGGTACCCCCACCGGGACTCCCACCAGGACCCCTTCCAGAACGGTTCCTGGGGCCCTGACCGCCAAACCCCCGCTTGCCCCCAAGCCGGGAACCACAGTGGCCTCAGGAGTGACTGCCCGGGTTGCAGCAGTGATAGCAGGACAGGTGACAAGTGGACATGGAGCTGCAGAAACAACATCAGCATCAACAGGACAGGCTCCAGAGGACCCCTCGGGGCCTGGCACAGGACCTCCAGGGACATGTGAGGCTCTGGTAGCTGTCGTGACGGTGACCCCAGCTCCGGAACCTGCTGAAAACTCTCAGGACCTAGGCTCCACGTCCAGCCTGGGACCTGGCATCTCTGGGCCTCGAGGGCAGGCCCCGGACACTCTGAGCTACTTGGACTCTGTGAGCCTCATGTCTGGGACCTTGGAATCCTTGGCGGATGATGTGAGCTCCATGGGCTCAGACTCGGAGATAAATGGGTTGGCCCTGCGCAAGACGGACAAGTATGGCTTCCTTGGGGGCAGCCAGTATTCAGGCAGCCTGTGAGTACCCAGTAGGCACCCAGTGGGACTTCTTCAGGGAAGCAGAGGTTGGGGGAGGGAGCAATGATACACCTTGCCCAGACTCTGGCAGCCCAGCCTCCTCTGAGGATCCAGGAGTGATTAGCAGGAGGGGGATTCTTGGCGTTGCCTATCATGCCTAAAACATCCTGAGGTTTCTGTGGCACTTGAACGTTAGTGAGATTTTCAGACCAGGTGTCAGGAGTTCTGGGTTTGAGCCTAAGTCTTGCCTTTGGTGTGTTGTGTGCCCTTGAGGTAGCGTCTTCCCCCCATTTCCGTGCCTCAGTTTCCTCTTCTATGAAGTGAAAGATTGAATGAGATGATTCCTAAGGTCGTACCAGCTGTTCAATGTGAAACTCCAGCCATGGGCCAGATATTTTGGAGGGTTGGCTGGGCAGGGTTTCTGGTAGAGATCTTTGGTCCCTTGGGGGAAAGAGTTTGAGAAGGATGCAGCTATCTCCCCTCTCCCATAGCCCTATGGGCCCTATGGGGACTATCAGCCCCATAGTCTGATGGGGTGGTGAGGTGGGGAAGTCCTTTTGATGGAGGGAGACCCTGAAGGCAGGGCCCCCCTGGGAAACAGAAGGGCAGTCTTATGTTTTCACTAGAGGAAAGGGGGTGAGGGAGGCCTCTTCCCCATTTCCTCATCTCATCAACCCGGCTTACTCTTTCCTAGTTCCCTCCGGGGGCCTGAGTCACTCCTGAGGTGGGGGTGTGATCGTCTTTGACTTCTTCCTTCTCTCTCTCTGGATCCGGCCCATTGTTCCTGTACCCCTTTAACCTGCTGGTCACTTCAGCCTACAGCATCACCTGACCACCCAGGTGCCAGGCCCTGTGCTGGGTACTAAGGATGAAATAGTTGTTTCAAGGTGCTCGTCATCCAGAGGGAGAAACAAATCCTTAAAACAGTTGGTTTTAATATATGTCGGTTAGGTTTAGCCTAGAGATCAACACAGGATTTTGTGAGCGCCTGGGGAAGGGATCTTTTGCCCAGTCTGGGAATTCAACTGAAGCTGATCTTTATCATGAAGAATGAGTAGGATTTAGTCATACCTGTGCTTGTCGGGGTGGGGGAGACCTGCCTGGTGTTGGGGGAAGCCCTGTGGGAAGGTATTCTAGGTAGGGTTTATAACCCAACAAAAAAATAAGAAAACCTTTGATTGAGCACCAAGGTTCATGGTCCTATGAGGGGAAGGGAACTGAAGTTTGACCCTGGTGCTTTCTCATGCACGAGGGATGCGTTGTTGTACCCAATTTATAGGTAAAGAAGAAGGGTTACTGCAGTTGAGTGAATTGCCCCCCTCAAATAATCTGGATCTATGTGACCAATGGCTCTCTCCTCAATACTATGCTGCCCTAAGGAACTTGGATTTTAGTGAGCCCCTCTTGTGTGCCAGGCGCTGGGCTGGGTGCTATTACTCTGCTTTGTAATTTTGTCCCTTTGAAATCCATCGTCCGTGCTGCAGGAATCTACTTCTGAGGCAAGGCTGACTGGGGCACGTGTTACCTTAAAAGCTCTTAGCAGCTCCTCACTGGCCACAGGATAAAGTCCAAGTGCTTTAGCCTGTACATAGGCTCCTTATTTCCTGGCTCTGCCAGCCTCTCTGGTCTTCTTTCCCACCGCTCCTCACCGTGCACTTAGTGCTGTGGTCCTGTTGAACTGATTTGTAGTTTCTCCTCCTTCAACTGTCGCACCTACCAGGAATGCCTTTCTCCCCCTTCTTTTCCTGCTAAGTTCTCATAGCTTACTTCACATGCCCCCTTCTCCAGGAAGCCTTCCCTGATATCCACTGCCCCTACTCCAATTGGGTGCCTTTTCTGTATGTTTTTGTCATTGCCTTTCCCGTACCATATTGCATCTCCTCTGCTAGTTTGCGACCTTCTTGAGAGCAGGAGAGGCCTTTTGTTCTTCCTGGTCGTTAGTAGAGTTTGGAACTGATTTATGGTAGAGATTAATGAGAGATGGTCTCTCTGTTTAAGGAGCTTCTAGGACAAAAGAAAGAAATATTTAATGAGCCCTTCCATTTAACAGTCTTTTATACACTGTTTCTCAATAGTCCTCTCATAACTTTGTGATGTAGGTGCTGACATCCCTTTTTACAGATAAGGAAGAGACTCAGGTTATTACTTACCAAGACTCACCAACTTCTAAGGGACAGAACTGGGATTTGAGTTCAAGTCTGTTTGGAAACCCAAGCTTGCTCTTCCATTCCACTCGCCTCCTGGTTCTGGCTCCTACAAGTAACTGTTTCAAGACTGATGGGGCATCTTGAGTGTGAAACTCTGACTGAACAGTGGGCAAACAGTATAAGGAAAGCTTCATTTGCCTGGGAATCTGGGGTGATTTCTGGGAGGAGGAGGAAGAGGGAATTGCAGGTGGCCCAAAGGATCTCAAAAGTCTGATGGGAAACTCAGACAGTTGCTTCTAAGGAGACAGAGAAGTATATTGGTTTTGTATTTTATTTTATGGATAATAACTGCTATTACTTACTGAGTCCCTGCTGTGTGTTATCTCATATAACCTCTCAGGTAGATGTTGTTTTTCTCACCATCTTACAAATGAGGAAATTGAGGCTTAGATGAATTAAGTGACTTGCCCAAGGTCACACAATGAGTAAGTGGTAAGGCTACAACTTGGATCCAGGTCTAATGCAAAGTGTGGCTTTTAAATATTCTGTACTATCTCCCCAAACTTGTATGTGTCAGAAGTGGGATCTGAACACACCTCTGTATAGAAAGAAATCCAGTATGAGAACACAATCTTGTACAGAGATTCCTTCCAAAGAGAAGGAGTCCTTTCAGTGTCGTGAACTAGGGCCTTGGATGGCCACGTGGCCAGACATCCTGATATTTGGTAGCTCACAAAATGCTTTTATGTCAGTCTCATTTGAGCCTGAGGAGGTGGCTTGCCTCAGTTCCCCCAGCAATCCAGGTTTTATACTACTGCTACTGACCCCTTCCATGCTCCCCGGCTTCCTGCAGAGAGAGCTCCATTCCTGTGGATGTGGCTCGGCAGCGGGAACTCAAGTGGCTGGAGATGTTCAGTAACTGGGATAAGTGGCTGTCACGGCGTTTCCAGAAGGTTTGAAAAGGCGGAGTGGTTGGCAGGGCAATGGACAAGGGGGGAGGGTGGGCCCATGTGCTCCGGGGAAGCCCAGAAACACGATAGTATCTGCATTCTGGACCATGTTGGGGGGTGGTACTTGGGCCTCAGGGGAGGAGTAGCTTTAAAGATAGAAGGCCAGGCCACGTCCAGTGGAGTCAAGCCTATGGGATGTGGGAGGGGTGTCCCATGGAGCCTGAGGACTGCTGGGGAGAGCTTGGAGGCTGTGCCAGCCCCTGACGCTGTCCCCCTGCCTCCACTCTGCCTTAGGTGAAGCTGCGCTGCAGGAAGGGAATCCCCTCCTCCCTCAGAGCCAAGGCCTGGCAGTACCTGTCCAATAGCAAGGAACTCCTGGAGCAAAACCCGGGCAAGTTTGAGGTGCGTCCAGAATGTGGGGACATGTGACACTGTCTGTGTGAAGGGAATCATGGGTCTCCCCAGATCTTGAGATAATCCCTGCTGTCCCACTGCAGGAGCTGGAACGGGCTCCTGGGGACCCCAAGTGGCTGGATGTGATTGAGAAGGACCTGCATCGCCAGTTCCCTTTCCACGAGATGTTTGCTGCTCGAGGGGGGCATGGGTAAGGTGGCCTAACCATGTGGGTCAGTCAGCAAACAATCGTAGAAGGTTCCAGATGAATACAGGGCTGCATTGAAAGCAGTTCTTGCCCTCTAGGCCTTCAAGAAGAGTGGTCCTTAATGGATTGAGTGTCAAGCCATATTGAAGGAAGTGTCCTGGGAGGGAGACTCTGACTTAGGGGCTGGGGGTGAGTTGGGCAGTTGGGAAGGGGAAAGGAGAGGCACATCAAGTGCTCCCTGAAGAGGTTGCATTTGAGCTGGGTTTTGAAGGATAGATGGGAGCAGAGCAAGGGGCAGGTTTTTTTCTGGCTGGGGGGTTATGTGAACTGTGTGTGGGCAGTGGGGTTGGGTAGAGCTGAGGCTGGAAAAGCAGTTTAGGGCCAGGTCACCAAGGGCTCTTAAATGCTGTTCCAAGGCACTTGGATTTTTGTTCTGTATGCCAGGCTTCCTCAAGGTGTATAGATACCGCTCCCTAGTAGTATGCAAGATAACCTTAGGTGGTTCTCAGATGGACATTTTTTATCAATAAGTTCATCCTTTCAGCAAATATTTATGGAGTGCCAGCTATCTGCCAGGCACTGTTCTAGTCACAGATGACAGCAGTGAACAAAAGACAAAACTCCTGTCCTCGTGAGGCTTATTATATTTTAGTGGGGATGGATAATAAGTAAAATAGAAAAGGAAAGTATCTTGCATATAAAATGGTGGTAAGTATTAAAGAGGAGTTTAAAGCAAGAAAGAGGAATAGAGAATGTGAGTGGAGATGGGTTTATAAGTGACCTGATCTGACTTGTGTGTTTTGTTTTTTTTTAAAATATAGTAACATTGAGGTTTTTGTGTGTGTGTGTGTGTGTGAGGAAGATCAGCCCTGAGCTAACATCTATGCCAATCCTCCTCTCTTTTTGCTGAGGAAGACTGGCCCTGGGCTAACATCTGTGCCTATCTTCCTCCACTTTATATGGGACGCCGCCACAGCATGGCCTGACAAGCGGTGCGTTGGTGTGTGCCCGGGATCCAAACCCTGGGCCGCCAGCAGCAGAGTGCGAGCACTTAACCGCTAGGCCACGGGGCCGGCCCCTGACTTGTGTTTTAAAAGGATCATTCTGGCTGCTGTGCTGAGAATAGACTCTAAGGAGACAAGGGCAGAAGTAGAGAGACCAGTTAGGAGACTATTTCCATAATCCAGGAGAGGGACGATGATAAATAGACCAGGATGGTACCAGTGGAACCATGGGGAGATGTGGTTGGAATCTGGATATATTTTGAAGGTAGAGCCAAGAGGATTTGCCAGTGGATTAGATGTGGAGTATGAGAGAGAAAGAGGAGTTAAGGATGACTCTTAAGGTTCTTGGCCTGAGAAACTAGAAGAATGGAGTTGCTGTATACTGATACGGATGGGGAAAACTGGGGGAAAAGTAAGTTTGGGAGTATATCAGGAGCTCAGTTTTGGAATGCGAAGTTTGAAATGCTTATTGGACATCCAGATGGAGATGTCAAGTAAGTTGAATCTAGGATATATACAAGTCTGGATTTCAGGGAGAGGTTTAAACTGGAGATAAATTGGAAATGGAGAGTTGTCAGCCTCTAGATGGGACTAAATCTCACCCATGGGACAGGATGAGGTCATCAAGGCAGCAAGTGTAGATACGAAAGGAAACTCAAATATTGAGCCCTGCAGCTCCAGCATTTCAAGAATGGGAAGATGAGAAGGAACCAGTAAAGGAGGCTAGAAGGAGAAGCTGGAGAGGTAGAAGGAAAACGAGGAGAGTGTGATTTCTGGAAGCAAAGCGAAGAGGGGTTTCAGGATCAGCTGTATGAAATGCTGCTGATGGGTCAAGTCAAATCTGCAAATTGATCTCTGGACTTTAGCACTGTAGAGGTCATTGGTGATCTTGATAAAAGCAGTTTTATGTGGAGCAGTGGGTTAAAGCCTGGCTGGAGAATGGGAGGAAAGACGTTGAAGACAGTGAGTCTGTACTCTGGAGTAGTTTTACTCAATAGGTAGGGAATGAAATAGTGTGGTATTTGGAGGGGATAGTAGGTCAAGAGACTTTTTTTTAAGCTAGAGGAGATAACAGATGTTGGTATGCCAGCGGGAATGATCTATTAGAGAGAGAAAAAATGATGATGCAGGAGAGATGGGAAGGTTGCTGGCGTGGTAGCCTGTGTAGGCGAGAGGTGATGGGATCCAGTGCCCAAGTGGAAAGGCTGTGCTTGGCCAGGATCACGGACAGTTCACCCATAACAACAGGGGAGAAGGCAGGGGCACAGAAGCAGTGGGTGAATGAAGCATGAGAGCTTGTGGAAGTTACATGCTTATTTTAATATGTATTAGGTAAAATAACTAGTATATCAAACCTGTCATTTCATGGATGCTATTGCAAAGTGGAGAAAAAATATTAAGTAAATAATAGTAGGAGTGGTATACATATACAGCACAAATGAAGATCATACTTCAATGACTGAATTTTGGGAAGCACTGTTATAAGCAGTGGTCAGGAGAATGTCTGTGACTGGAGGCAGGGAGAGGATCTGGGAGGTCAGTACTATTTTCTGGGTAAGACATGAAGGTCTGAGCTGTGAAGTGGCTGTGGAGGATGAGAGAGGGAACAGACATGAATGAAAATCAGGATGTGGTGTTGATAAAACTCGGTGATTAGCCATGGGGAGTGAAGGAGGGCTCTCTGTTTTCTGATGTGGGGCTGAGTGGATGGAATTTCCAGACACAGTGATGGGGCACCCTCAAGGAAGAGGAGCAGGTATAGGGCAGAGATTTTATTCTTTTGGATGCAGAGACAAGAGAAGGGTCTGAGGCACAGCTGGCTTCCCAAGCCTTCACCAGGAACCAGGGCCCATTGGACATGCTGGTGGGGAATTGACGACATCCAGTGAGACAGATAAGGCAGGCCCTGCCCTGGGAGGGCTCCTCTTCTGGGGTGATAAAAGCATTCAGACAGTGCCTGGAGAAGATGACCTTGAAGGTTTATGGGATGGTGGCAGATGAAGGAGGGAGAGAGAACACAGCCTGTCCTAGGGAATGGGTAGGGAGCACGCAGAGTGTGCAGGCAAGGGTGGAAGGCTGGAGCCTGGAATGCTTTGACTATGGTCTGAGTCTTTGGCTTAAGCTCGATAGGCAGAACTAGGAAGGTAGATGGAGGTGTGTGGTGCTCAAGCTCTGAGGTTAATCTGGAACTGGATCTAGGAGGGGTCTTGGCTGGGGCTGGGGGGTAGGGTGCAGGTTTAGTTTGGGTCAGAGAGCTCCCAACTCCTGTGATTGCCCTCATGGTCTTTTCCAATACCCACAGGCAACAGGACCTGTATCGAATCCTGAAGGCCTACACCATCTACCGGCCTGACGAGGGCTACTGCCAGGCCCAGGCCCCAGTGGCTGCAGTGCTGCTCATGCACATGCCTGCTGAGGTCAGCATATGCTGGTCCTGGTTGGAGAGGGGCTGGGAGGATCTTGGCCTGCAGTGGTGATGGGGGAGCTCTCTGCTCCATTTCTCAGGCCCCATCCATTCCTCCTTGTTCTTGCCCTTTTCAGCAAGCCTTTTGGTGTCTGGTGCAGATCTGCGACAAGTACCTCCCCGGTTACTACAGTGCAGGGCTGGTAAGTGTCTGGAGTCTGGGTGCAACCGGGGCTGTGACTTTTACCCAAGGCTGCAGGGAGGTCCTTGTCCTGCCCCATCCTGTGTCCTTCTGTCCCTCTCCTCTGGGCCTTTCCCGCTGAGGTGAGGATCCTGTACCAGGGCCATTTCTACCCCAAGGGGGCTACAGCAGGCCTCTTTTCATGGCTCATCCCACTTCCAGGAGGCCATTCAGCTAGACGGAGAAATCTTTTTTGCACTGTTGCGCCGGGCCTCCCCTCTGGCACATCGGCACCTGCGGCGGCAGCGCATTGACCCCGTGCTCTACATGACAGAATGGTTCATGTGCATCTTCGCCCGCACCCTGCCCTGGGCTTCAGTGCTGCGTGTCTGGGATATGTTCTTCTGTGAAGGTACTTCTGTAGCCATTCAGGCCATGAGGGGGCTAGAGTTTCCATGGTGGCTGCCAGAGGGTGGCCCACTGACACTGTTGGGCCTTGGCTTCACTGTAAGCCAGCTGGGGGCTGGAGAAACTGAGGCTTCGTCTTGGCTCTGCCACCAACCCAGAGCCTGCTCTCCCTCAGGACCCTGAAACCCATGGCAGCTCATTTCCCTTCTTGGGGCCTCAGTTTCCTCATCTGTAAGGTTGGCAGTAGACAGGGATGGGGGCTATCAGTCCCTTCTATGTGGGACGGGCTGGGATCCCACGCCTGATCCCATATGCTCTCTTCTCTCTGACCCTGCAGGCGTCAAGATCATCTTCCGGGTGGCCCTGGTGCTGCTGCGGCACACACTGGGCTCGGTGGAGAAGCTGCGCTCCTGCCAAGGCATGTATGAAACCATGGAGCAGCTGCGCAACCTGCCCCAACAGTGCATGCAGGAGGACTTCCTGGTGCATGAGGTAGGTCTTGGCCTTAGCAAACCCCACACCTGCTTCAGCCCATCCCCACCCTCGTCTTCATTCTGGTACTCATTTCTTCTCTGTCTAGGTGACCAACCTCCCGGTGACAGAGGCACTGATTGAGCGAGAGAACGCAGCCCAGCTCAAGAAGTGGCGGGAGACCCGGGGGGAGCTGCAGTATCGACCTTCACGGCGACTGCATGGCTCCCGGGCCATCCACGAGGAGCGCCGGAGGCAGCAGCCACCCCTCGGCCCCTCATCCAGCCTCCTCAGCCTCCCTGGCCTCAAGAGCCGTGGCTCCCGGGCAACTGGAGGGCCCCCCTCCCCACCTCCTCCTGCCCGCAGGGCCAGTGCTGGGCCTGCCCCAGGGCCTGTGGTCACTGCTGAGGGACTGCATCCCTCCCTTCCTTCACCTACTGGCAACAGCACCCCACTGGGTCCCAGCAAGGAGACCCGGAGGCAGGAGAAGGAGCGGCAGAAACAGGAAAAGGAACGTGAGAAGGAGCGGCAGAAACAGGAGAAAGAGCGGGAGAAGCAGGAGAAGGAGCGGCAGAAGTGGGAAAAAGAGCAGGAGAAGGAGCAGCAGAAGCAGGAGAAGGAGCGGCAGAAGCAGGAGAAGGAGCAGCAGAAGCAGGAGAAGGAGCGGCAGAAGCAGGAGAAGGAGCAGCAGAAGCAGGAGAAGGAGCGGCAGAAGCAGGAGAAGAAGGCCCAAGGCAGGAAGCTTTCGCTGCGTCGAAAGGCAGATGGTCCCCCCGCTCCCCAGGATGGTGGGGACAGGTCCTCGGCATCTGAGGCCCGGCAGGATGCTTACTTTTGACCTCTGCCCTGGGGCTGGACTGCATGGCCCCCCTCTTTTTCCCTCAGCCAAGAGCAGGCCAGTCGTCCCTCTTGCTGAGGAAAGTGGCTTGATTCCCCATCCCCTTGCTAGCTGCTGATCCCTGCACAGCCAGGACAGTTGGAGTGCACGGGGCAGCTGCATTTCCCTGGGGCAGCCGTGAGCAAGTCTGGGGCCCCTCACCTCCAGTTAGGCCCAGCTGGGGTCTCTGTCACTCCTGCCCCAATTCCCTCTGGGGTCCCTTCCCAGGTGCTGTCCTGATCGGCCTTTTGTCACCACAGGGTGACTCTTGGCAATGGGAGTCAGCAGTTTTCAGATTCTTACACTCCAGTTGCTCCCCTTACCCGTGAAGTGGAGCTGGGTTCCTTTCTCCCTTCTTCAGTCCTGCCTGTCGCCCCCACTTCCTGGCTGGGGGCCGAGGCTCTCCTCACTCTACTTCTGGACATCTCTGTGTTGTAATTATGTACAGAGGACCTGGTTGGCCCAGGGTGGGGGTGCTTGCTCTATCTTCTGTCCTTGAGTTCTCCTGCACTCTGGTTTATTTAAGGGGACATGCACTGGAACAGGAAATGTCCCCCACTTCCTACCCACCACCGTCCTTGCTCTCCTTTCTCTTCACCCACCCTCCTCTGTATTCTCAGGCCTCCCCTGCTTTGTCTCACCAGGGCCCCCATCTTTCACCTTATTCCCTTTCAATCCTCCAGCCTCTTATCTGGGTAAGGGGTCTTCCCTTGAGCTCCAGGGGGTAGAATCCAATGTTTACATTCTCTTCTGTCTCTGCTCCCACCCAGTGCGGCGCTTTGAGGAACCAGAAAAGAATCTGCTGTTGTACCTGGGCCTGTCTCCTGCTTTGTTATTTGATGGAGGGGTTTAGAATAAGGACTAGGGAGGGACAGAGCAAGCCAGAATCTGGGTGTCTATTGAAGCAGTTGGCTGGTCTTTGCAGGTGGGTACCTCTTGGCCTTTGATCCATCTCTCAGTCACTCATCAACAAACAGTGGTTGAGCTCCTGCTGCACCTTTGCCTGGGATCTGCTGCCTTCATTGTCACTGGCCTCCTGGAGTCCTCTATGCACTACCTGCAGTGCCCAGATCTCCTTCCAGAAGCACTCATGCAACTCCTGGAAGCTGGAGGGGGAACTGAGGGTAGCTAGAAAGCCACAGTCCTCTAGGGGTGAGCTGGGCTCTTGGCCAGCAGCCTGGCGCAGCTCCTGGTACTGGGCCTCCCGTGTGGGTAGCAGCACAGACAGCCACCTCCAGCTCACCCCAGCTAGCGCCCACAGCCAGGCTCCCAGTTCCTCCTCGTTTTCTGCTGCCAGCTTGTAGGCCCGCCCACCTTCTGTGTCCTCTACCCTGGGAGTCAGCATGGTGAAGTCATAGGATTCTGTGGCTCCACTTGGCAGTTCTCCAACAGGATGAGGCCCAGAGGTGTGCGGTCTGCCTGGTGCTCCAGGTAAAAGAGGTTTCCCCGGAGGATGAACCAGCGGCCCTGGTAGCTGGTATTTTGGGTCCCCTTCTTTAGCAAGATGCTCTTGATCTGGAGCCTGTGCTCTGTACCCACGGAAGAAACTGAGCACAGACTTTTGGTGCAGTTTCATGGTAGTCCAATCTGGGAGGAAACCCTGGGGGCAGGAGAGAGGAGTGGAGGGTCTGTCTCATTACCCTGGGGACCCCATGCTGCCTTCCTTTGGCTCCAGTGGGCTCTTCCTGGGCACAGCTTTAGCCTAGTGGGATTCAGACTCTGAGTATCCTCAAGAGCTGGAGGTATTGTCCCCAGAGCACTGGGATCCGCTTCTCCCACCTCCCAACCCCAGCTCTGCCCCTTGTGCCAGATAACCTGGGCAGGGGATGCAGGGCTGGGGCCCTGTTTGCTAAGCAGGGGGATTTACCCTGCGGCTTTGGTTCAAGAGAAAGAGGCACTGCTGCCCTTTTCCAGGCCTACCTGAGGTCAGGGCACAAGGGGCTTCTGGCCTGGGTACTGGGCACAGGTGTCACTGCTACCTATCCTGTGATGGCTCTTCCCATCAGAACCAGGAATTCGCCCAGGGGGTAGGTGCGGGGTAAATGACTTCCCCTGGGTTCTAAAGGGAGCTGGTTTCGGCAAGTGCCCCAAGGGCCGTCAGAGGCCTCCAGCCGGGCCATCAGGAAAGCCGGGCTTCCCCTTAGGGAGAACAGCAAGGCTGCACTTGGGACTAGGACAGGGTAGACAACGACGCTGAGAGCGGGAAGAGAGGATTTCTGATGAGATGGTGAGGGTCGTAGAGACCTTGGCCAGCGCTGGGGGAAACTAGAGCAGTAACCCACTGGCCCTGCTGGGACTTTGCCCTTCCATCGTGACCCGGGGCGCCACTTTAAGTAGAGTGCGTCCCACTTTCACTCCAGAGCCTCTACTACTATACTAGGGAATGGAAGCTACTTCCGGCCATTCCTCTCATCCGATGAGGGTTTAGGCGTTCCTACGTCTCCTCTCCTCGCCTCCGTCGCCCCACACGGCTCACGTCACTTCCGGGAGGGAGGTGTCTCCGCCCCCCGCTCATTCCGTACTTCCGCCCGCTCTTCCAGTTAGTCCTCTAACCCGAGTGAAGCCACTTCCGGCTTTCCCTGGCGACTTCCGCAGTTGTCTTCCGGGCGATGTCGGCGGGTGCCCCGGATGTAGCCCTGGTGAAGGCATCTCTCCTTTTCTTCCCCCGCCTACCCTGGATCCTTAGGTGAGCGCGCACTGGTGGAACTGTTCGAAACCTCGTGGCTCTGCCGGCTCCCTTATTTGTACACACAGGCCGGGACAGCTGGGAGTCACCCCGCGGAGTTGGGAGTTCGGCATGGGGAGGGGCGGGGCGACCAGGGTGCCAGGTCTTGCGTCCGCCGGGGCCTCGTGGGCTCTGGGGGAGCTGGGGGTGGAGAAGCGGGTGTCAGCCCGCGGAGCCCCGTCGCGCGCAGGGCTGCGGGGGCCGGGAATGAGGGCGTTCACTTGGGGGAGCCTGTCTCTTTTCGTCAAGGGTGGGGGCGTCCATAGGGAGCTTCTGCGCGCGTCCACATCTCCGTCCCCGCCCCAGCAACTCTTTCTGATGCCAAACCGACTCCTGGGGGCCGCCTCGCTGCCAACTCCCCTTTCGGCCCCCGATTCTGTGCTCCCTCCCCTCTCAAACTGGATCTAGTACGTATATTCGTTGTGCTGGGGGCCCTCTCGCTGTGAGTATCCTTGCCCAGTTCCCTTAATCTGCACCGTTTCCCTCGGCTCAGCTTGGGGACCGCCCCTCTGTCCAGTCATGCCAAAGAGGAAAGTGACCTTCCAAGGCGTCGGAGATGAGGATGATGAAGATGAAGTCGGTGTCCCTAAGAAGAAGGTGAGGGGCACAGACTCCTGCGTTCTGGGGAGGAGGTAGGGGAGAAAAAAGAAACGAAGTCAGAAGAGGAAAAACCTGGAGGAACAAAGAAAGGGTAGAAAAAGCTAGCTTTTCGATGTTCTCTGGGAAATGGGTTTGGAGGATTATCAGTTTGAGTCCAGATGCTAGAGTATCTTGAGGAATAGCCAGTAACCTGCATCTCTCGACTCGCTGGCTCTTGCTCACAGCTGGTGGACCCTGTGGCTGGGGCAGGGGGTCCTGGGAGCCGCTTCAAAGGCAAACACTCTTTGGACAGTGATGAGGAGGATGATGATGATGAGGGATCCAGCAAATATGACATCCTGGCCTCAGAGGATGTGGAAGGTGAGCTATACCCAAGAGTTGACTTTCTGCTGTGGGAACAAATAGGGGTTTGGGGCGATGTGTGGCAGGGGGCTCCTCTTTTTCGCATGCCTAGCATGAGACACTTGTGTCTTTGGTGCAGGTCAAGAAGCAGCCACACTACCCAGTGAGGGAGGTGTGCGGATTACACCCTTCAACCTGCAGGAAGAGATGGAGGAAGGCCACTTTGATGCTGATGGCAACTACTTCCTGAACCGGGATGCTCAGATCCGAGATAGCTGGCTGGACAACATTGACTGGGTGTGGCCCAGGGACTGGCATGGCTGGGGCCTGGAGGCAGCAAGTGCTGGGCTTCGGCCCTGCTGGCAGCTTTCAGCAGATAACCCCTACTATTTTCATATTACAGGTGAAGATCAGGGAGCGGCCACCTGATCAGCGCCCACTGTCAGACTCGGAGGAAGAGGACAGCCTGGGCCAGACACCAATGAGTGCCCAAGCCCTCCTAGAGGGCCTTTTGGAGCTGCTGTTGCCAAGGGAGACAGTGGCTGGGGCACTGAGGCGTCTAGGGGCCCGAGGAGGAAGCAAAGGGGGCAGCAAGGGGCCTGGGCGGCCCAGTTCCCCCCAGCGCCTGGACCGGCTCTCTGGATTGGCTGACCAGATGGTGGCCCGGGGCAACCTTGGCGTATATCAGGAAACAAGGGAACGGTTGGCCATGCGGCTGAAGGGATTGGGGTGCCAGACCCAGGGACCTCCTGACCCCACACCCCCACCCTCTCTGGACATGTTTGCTGAGGAAGTGGCAGAGGAAGAGCTGGAGACCCCAACTGCTGCCCAGAGAGGAGGTGAGATTGAAGGGCAGAGGAAGGGTGTTGTGGGCAGGGGCAGAGCACTTGAGGCCCAACTGGCTTTGCCTATTACTTTAGAAGCAGAGTCGCCTGGAGACGGCCTGGTGGATGTGATGTGGGAGTATAAGTGGGAGAACACAGGGGATGCTGAGCTGTACGGGCCCTTCACCAGCACCCAGATGCAGGTAAGCCCCTTTCTACTTCGTTCTGCTGCTTCTCTCCCTCCTCCTACCCCATCAGTTCGTTCCCAGCTCTACCCTCTCTTCTTGCAGACCTGGGTGAATGAAGGCTACTTCCCGGATGGTGTTTATTGCCGGAAGCTGGACCCCCCAGGTGGACAGTTCTACAACTCCAAACGTATTGACTTTGATCTCTACACTTGAGCCTGCTGAGGGCCTAGTTTGGTGGCCCCTTCTTTCCTGGACTCTGAGGAGGATGCCCCAGCTGCCCCAGGCAGTGAGGATATTGGGGGCCACTTTCCAGTTAATTTTCCTTTCCTAATAAAAGCCTTTAGTTGTGTATTAGGGCCTTCGCTGTGCTGATGGCCAAAAGCCAGGACCTTCTCCACAGCCCCTTGCCTCTGTCCTTGAGTGTGTCCTCATGAAGTTCTTTTTTGGGAGTTTCTGTTCCTTTGAACCGCTTCACCGTTGTTTACCACTCCTATGGGCAGAGCCAGGGCTATCAGGTGGCCTGTGGCCTCTCCATCTGGACTCTGCTCACCATCGAAAAATCCTTCAACTCGCACAATGTTGTCCGATATCCTCTGGGGGTTTCTGTTTTGTTGTTCTTATGGCTTTGGCTTTTAGGACTTCACAGTCTCTTTCCTTGCAGCCAGTACAGGATAGAGCCCCAGAAGTGGAGATTTTAGGCCAGGAAGGGCTGCGACATATGTTGGGGGTAAGCAGGAAGCCTGGTACTCACTGCCACCCCACTGTCTCTAGCTCTTTAGGTGAAGTGCAGACTCAGTGTTGGCACCTGAAGGACCCTTCAAGGACACCTGGGCCAACCATGCATTGAACAGGCACAGAGAGGGGCAGTACCTCACTGGAGGTCACACAGTGAATCAGAGGGCTGGCCCAGACCTAATGGGCTCTCTTCCCACACCTCCCTTGGCACCAGGCCTTTTCTGCCTGACTTTTGAGGCCCTGAAGCTTACATTTTCTGGCTCCCACAGTGTGCCTGGCACAGAGGTAGTGCCTTGAGGGAACTGAGATAACTGTGCTGGTCTCCTTCCAGGAATTCAGAGTCTCGTGGGGGTTGGGAGGAAGACAGACAGGTATAATTGTATAGTCTGGACCTAACACTC